CATGTTTGCATTAGCATCTGTGAGCCTTAATGGAGTGGGAAAAAACTTTTATGTCCAAGCTGTTCAATTTGCTAAAAACAGCCTTGAAGTACCTTGAAGTTGTAATGACAAAGAGGGTAGTTATTGCTGTTTTTCCAGTTTACCTGGGTGATTAAAAATAAGGGCTAAGGGGCTGGGAAGGTTGCCTTGCATGCATAAGGCCCTGGATTCGATTCTTCAGCACCACATAAGCAGAAAAAGCCAAAAGTGGCACTGTGGCTAAAGTGGTAGAGTGCTAGCCTTGAGCTGAAGAGATGAGGGACAGCGCCCAGGCCCCGAGTTCAGGCCCCATGACCGCTAGGCATGGCGATGTACATCTGTAATCCCAGCTACTCCAGAGGCAGAGATAACGAGAATCAAAATAAAAGGTCAACCCAGATAAAATGTCATTGAGACTCACATCTCAACCGACCAGCCAGGTATGCTGGCTCACGTACATAATCCAAGCTTTTTAGGATGTTTAAGGTTGGAGAATTTTAGTTCAAGGCTGTTCTTGGGCAAAATTGTGAGATCCTATCCAAAGGAAACCAAACAAAAAAAAACCCAATTAACCAAATACATAAGAAGCCTGGGTACGTAACTCAAGTGGTAGCGTGCCTACCTAGCAAGCGCACAAGTGTTTAAATCCCAGTTGTGTCAAAATAAAAGGAAAATCAGCATAATGACTACATGAAACTTGATTATGAAATCTGAACACAGTATCCCTCCTTATTCTCTCATTCAGAAGGGTGTGGCCGAGGGCAACTATGATTTTGGTGCCTCTCCTGGTACCATAAGGCAGACATACTGCAACTCCATCTAGGGACTGCATGGCAAGTCTCAAGTGGGTAGATAGCTCATCATTGGCCAGATGCCAATCTCTGAACAGAAAGCATCTTTCTCCTTTCCTTCTGTTCTAGACACAGAACTCATTTCCATTTTCCCAGGCTGATATATCCATAACAACTTGCTTTTCCTATCTGCTGACTTGTATGAGTGTATGTGCTCTACTTCTATGCACAACTGCTATGCCTTCCTGGAGGGGACAGAGTTTCACTGTGAAAGACAGACATTCATGAGGAAGAAGAAAGTTCACAGGGACAAAACTGGTGCTTTTGCCTTTTGTCATCGCAAGCAGCTTGACAACTGCTCTCCTTGGCATATCTCCCAAGGGAAGATGGTCACAGTGGAACTTTTCTGTGACATTAGAAAGCTCCAGATATGATGCTATTCATTTTGGGATTGTTTTGTGAGTGGCAGAAAGGGAGAGATGGTTTCCTTTGAAAATTCTGCATTCAAATATTGGCCAATCGTAGTCTTTTGGCCATTTTCTAATGATATTTATTCCACAGAATTTACACATTTGGAAAGTCATGGTTTTTATTATATGTTCTATGCTGGTGTCAAGGGTCTCCTGACTCTGGAATGTATGCTCATATGTCTATCTTTACTGCTTAGACTGTCTAATACTGTACTCAGTAAGTTCATGAGACTGTTGAGTCCTTAATGTCTGATTTGAGATTTACTGTAAGTATAAAATGTATATCATATTTCAGACTTGGTACAAAATGAGGAATTAAAAACTATGTCACTGGTAATTTTTATATTGGTTACATATTGAAATAATATTTGATACATTTTAGTTAAATAATCAATTATAATTGTTTTTACTATTACTTTTTACTTTTTCAATACAGCCATTAGATATTTGGGTGGTACCAAGGTCTTGGGGGGGTACTTTATGGCTGGCATTCTACCATTTGAGCCATACTTCTAGCCCTGGTTTTTGCTGGTTATTTTGGAAATGGAGTATAGTGAATTTTTCTGCCTGGGCTAGCCTTAAAGCACAGTCCTCCAGATCTCAGCCTCCTGAGTTGCTAATTACAGACATTATCACCCAGTCTATAAATCATTTAAATTTCCTTGTGTAACTCATAGTATTTTTCTATAAGACAGAGCTGATCTAGATTATAAGGACCTTTAGGCTGTGGGCAATACCTGGTACATATGAATTCCATGCTCAATGCATGTTTGATAAATGAGGCTATTAAACTGAAGTGAAGGGGATAAGGATTATAGTGATTTTTTAAACTTGTAATGATTTTAACACTGGGTTTGGAAAGTGACAAAGCAAGATGAGATGGGTTATGCTAGCAAGTCTTAAGATGTTTATTGTCTCTGGTATGAAACAGATGTTTGGAGAGGGTCACAATAGCTCAGTAGCTATGTATGACCATATAACATGATGTTTATTGAAATGAGCTCCAAGACATAGAACAAGAGGGTCTTTTATTGTACTGTTTGCAATTCTTTCTTTTTTCTACTTTGGTTTATTTCCTGTTGTCACTGTTTTTTATTTCTGTACCCTTTGTCTTGTATATGTTTCTCTGATTTGGGGAAGGGAAGGGGAATCGCAGAAACGGTGAGGTTTCAAAGGGTGAACCAATGCAACAGTGATACACACTAGACATTATATTGGAAATACTTTACAACTTAGGGGCGGGGGAAGTGGGAGAAAATGAGGGAGGAGTAGCACTGTTCAAAAAGAAATGTATTCATTAACTTACTTGTATAACTGTAACTGCTCTGTATATCACCTTTACAATAAAATAGCCAAATTTATAGAATCGTAGTACAATGGTAGCTACCAGGGGCTGAAGTGGGGGAGAGGGGAAATTGCTCGTCATTGGATATATAGTTTCAGTCAGTGCAACATGAAACCATCCTAGAGATCTGTTGTTCACCAGGGTGCATAAAGTTAATAATACTGCCCTATGCACTTCAAAATTAGGAGAGAAAGGCTAAAGGTGTAGCTCAGAAATAGAGTGCTTACCTGGCATCCATAAAGCTAGGTAAGCTGGTTCAGTCTCCAGCACCACAAGTAAACTATCCCAATAGCTTCTAATGAAATCAAACTCAAGGCAAGAGTATAATTTAATTTCTTTTTTTTTTAATGAGAGATTTTGTTGGAAATACTGAATTAAAACAACGGTGTACTTGCAGAGAAGTTGTGTGCGTATGAGAAAACTGTGAGCTAGTGGGTTCTCCTGAGGGCACTGAGGGAGGGCAGTGCATACTCATGCTGAATGTTGTTCCCAAAGCAACTGGTCCAGACACTGGCAACCATCCACAAGGTGGGGTGCTGCCATTCAGAGGCATCTGAATACTTTGAATTGTTCCTTCTTTCATTCTCTCATCCCTGTGTCAGAAGCTTAAAATTTTATCACCTTAATTTATTTCCCTTCAAATGTATTTTTAGTTATTATATTTTGTTATTATTATCAAACTTACTTTTTTTTGGGGGGGGGGAGTAGTTTGCACATGCTAGCTGAGTACTTTTATCACCATGCTAACTCCCCAGACTTTAAAGCAGTTTTTAAAAGCTTGGGAAAGCCCTGGTCACATTTAGGGGTTGTTTTAGATGCAGGGAGAATGATCAGATTTTATAGAGCATGCCATAGTGTTCATATGCTTAGCGCTGACGTGGCAACAGCCAGAGGTTCTAAGTCTGACCAGAGGCCTTGTCTTTGTGTAGTATGCTCTCTAGTCTCTCCAGTAACTACTAAAGTTTAATGTAGAGCCTGGCTAGTTTGCATAAGGGAAGCAAACAAAGTGACTGGAAAAAGAATGAAGTGACAGATTTACTAATGAAATAAAATGACAATAGTAAGCTAATAAATACGTCTTTCCCCGTTGTATCTTTCTTGGTATCCATTTCTAGCCTATCAAGTCATTTTTTTTTTTTTTGGTGGGTTAGGGGGCCTGAACTCTGGGCCTGGGTGCTGTCCCTCAGCTCTTTATCTCAAAGCTAGGGCTCTATCACTTGAGCCATGGCGCCACTTCTGGCTTTTTCTGCTTATGTGGTGCTGAGGAATCGAACCCAGGACCTCATGAATGCAAGGCAAGCACTCTACCACTGAGCACCTTCCCGGCCCTCAAGTCTTTTTTGTTTAACATGTGGGTTTTTAAGTATTTGTGCAACATATTAGTTTATTGCTTTAGGACATGGAATATGAAATATTTCAAATCTAATAAAGAGGCTTACAGATATAATCATTACCTGCTTTAATACAAAGAATGCTACAGATAACAGCTAAAGCTATTGTGTACCTTCTTTAGATTACCTCTTCCATCCTCCCTGTACTTCTAGGTCTGCTGCCTAGAACTTGGTGTATATTATTTTTCAAATACTGCATATCAAGACAATATATGTTATGCCATTAATGTGTCCAATATTGATGGTGTGTGTGTGTGCGCACGCGCGCGCGCACCAGTAAAGGGACTTGAATTCAGGGTCTTGAACTTTCACTTAGCTTTTTCACTCAAGGCTGGTCCTCTTCCACTTGAATCACACCTCTACTTCTCAATTTTTGATAGCTATTGAAGATAGAGTCTCTCGGATTTGTCTGCCCAGGCTGGCTTCAAACTACCATCTTCAGATTTCAGCCTCCTGAGTTGCTAGGGTTGCAGACATGAGTCATCAACACTCAGCTTAATACGTATGTTGTATGTATCACTTAGAAATAAATTTAATTTTTTATAATGGAATGAAACTGTGATGGTTTTAATATTTTACACAACTAGCCTCATCACAGTTCAATCCATATTTTTCTTTTGTTCTTTATTCAAACAACTCTTACATAAAAATATGATCATTATAGAGTTAAAGATTTAAAAAGTAGACCTTCATTATTATATATTTGCATATATTAGTAATTTGTATTTTGCATGTTTTAAACTTCATATAAATGATAATATCTGATGTTGCTTTCTGATTGTTATTATTATTAATGTTAACATCTTTTCTGTTTCTTTCTAAAGCTTTATTTGTGATATTTCTTCTGGTGTTTCCTAGCTAGGCACTACTAATGTGTTGTATTCTGCTAAAATGTTTGGCCCCTATAATGCAACTAGAAATTGCTTAGATTGAAATTTTTATATAATACAATGTGTAACTGTTAAATATATTTCTTTTATTTCAGGTTTAATATAACATATCCTATCATGTGTTTTCCTTGCCCCTTCTCCCCAAATCATCAACAGTAGAATAAAAAAAAAGAAGAAAACATGTCAGGACACAAATGGTAAGTAGTTTACTTTCTTTCCTACTCTGAGCTTTGCTAACAAAATAGAATTCACATCATTTATGCTCAATAAATATTGACTACATGGAAAAATTAAGAGATGCATTCGTAGTAAATAACCTATTTTCTCCTCTCCAATGTAAACTGTAGTGAAAACTAAGAGATAAACATTCTAAATTCATATCTAATGTGTTTTCTAGGAAATGTACTTATGTTTCCATTTTCTCTTGGGAATATAATATTGTTTATAGCTTAGTAACTTGATGCATTTTGGCACTTTCTTACTCATTATTACTCCCGTTGTTAGGTGTGTAAAGGAATTTTATGTAGTGTATCTATGAAATAAAGAATGATTCTACAATCACAGAGTAAGTACTCAGATTAATTTAAGTCATAACTTCCCTTTGTGAACATTCAGAAGGCAATGATGGTTGAAAGTATATGATGCTGAGTAAAATAGACATGGAATCACACATGCTAGTTAGCTTTCTCATTCATGTACCTATAACACATTTGAATAGCATATTACAATTCTCAAAAGCTCCAGAGTAGCTTGGGTAATGTTTCTGAATCCTTTAAAGCCCTGATCCACCAAGCCGGCACATCTTTGTCAAGTTTTATATTCTTTAATTGGCATCATGAAAAAAAAGTGCAGTAAATAATTTCATTTTTCAGATGTACAGTTAATCACACTAAGGAATTCACTTTTCAATCCTTTTCCTCTCATTTCAGAAGCATTTATAATCTGTCAGACTTTATGACGTATCTTCACAGCAATGAATTTTAGATAGTAATAAGTAAATGGCTAAGGGATTTAATTTCCCTGAGTCTTCCCACTTGATGGTCATCTGAGAGCTGTCAGGATTATTTCTGTCATTGCTTCATCTTTCTTCTTTATGGCTATGAGCTGACTTCATCTTATGGTCCTTGGAGTGACTACCTTATCCTGCCAAGAGGCTCAGCCAAATAGTAGTCTCAGAAAGACTGTAAAACCCTAAGAAGTAGGTCCTTTCCCAGGCTCTTTCTGCCACTTAGTCCATTTCATAGCTCACTACTGAGTGCACTATGATCCCGGCTACTCTGAGTGAGATTCCTAAGCCTTTGACACCTTAGGTTCCTTATTTATTAAATGACAGGTACTGGGGGTAGCAATTCACTAGGCTTCTAAAGTCCCTTTTGCTTTCAAAATGGATTATATTTTATGGTTAATCCATGACCAACAACAACAAACAAAAAGATAGAAAGAAGTCCACCTGTCTTCTCATTTTTATTAGCATATATTAATTGTACAAGGGGACTCATTGTGCTATTTCCATGGATGCATGCATATAATTTGACTCCTGAGAATCCCATTCCTATGAAATTACCATACTCTGTGGGGCAGAGTGTTCTTATGTGCATGTTATATGTAATTGATATTTTTATCCTGTTTTCTCTGACATGAGGTCATAATAAAACTTTTAACTAATGTTGAAATATATGAGTTGACCTTGAAGGTCTCATACTCTTCTTTCATCACATACGACTGCTCTTAAGGATGTTATCTGAAGTACTTTGACTTTTTAAGAATCAATGTGTGAATTAAAAATTATACATTTAAGGAGCATGTTCCAGGGATTGAGAATGTCTGACCTGCAGACCATTTAAGGCCTGAAAAATCATCTTGTACATGCTAGACATACATACATGTTTCTTGAGGGCTGCCTGAGGCTCATCTACCTATATTGATAATTTTGTATGGCCCATAATGATATTATAAATTTCTACATGGCCCTTGACACAAAAAGATTTCCTGTCCCTGAATGAAGAAACACATGAGACACTGGCATTTTGATGTAATAGTATGAAGCAGCTCATGCTTTGGAACCTCATCTGGTACATATAGAGTAGTGATGGGCCAGGAGGGAAGAAGGCACATAGTGCAGAGGGGAGTGATCAGGGCCACTATGAGGGCCTTTGAAGCTGCAGCTCTGGACCAGGGAGGATGTGGGTAGAGTAGGGAGGTGGGAAGCACTAGCTGTAAACTTTCTATCCGCATTTGGGATAATTTGCCCTCCCCCAAATTTTATGAAATTACATTTTATCCTCTTTACATATGTTTTGGATTACTCTTCACACTGATCTTCCTGAAGGATGACTTCCTGTCTGTATTTTGAGCATTTAGATGGCAGAATTTAAAGTTATTAACTATAATATTTTCATTTTTAAGAAAGTCATGAATAATGGAACTCTTTAAATATTTTAGTGATTATTCCTTGGACATACAGGATTGGTATATATACTCAAGTTAGTTAACAGTAAGATGTGACAGAAATATTCAGAAACAAACCAGGCATTTCTTAAAGCCACGAGAAGGAAGAGCCTTTATTTCACTTTTATTTCATTTTATTGTGGTAAGAATTATTAGCATGAAGTCTACCTCCTTAGTAAATTTTAATGTAAGCAATACAAGATTGTTCACCTTACACAGTGTTGGACAGCAGCTTTCTAGGAGTTTCTCATCTTGTAAATTCTGAAATTTTATGCCTGTTTCTTTTACCAGCGCCAGCCACTGTTCCACACTCTGACACTGAGGTTGACTATTTTAGATTTGTCTGTAACAGATTTCAGACATGCTGAATTTTAGCCTCTTATCTTACTCTTCTGCTATCACTTCACTGTTAACATTATGATGTAGTGTGCTGAGTGCGCTGGTGTCTGGCCTTATCTCTGACTTACTGGGGTTCCTGAGCCAGTCCCCTGCTTTGCTTGGCCTTATTTTCTCCACTTTTAAGAGGAAAGCACCCAATTTGCTGATACTTAAGTTCTCCTCAAGGTTTTTATTTTCTTGACTTTCTATAAAAGCTTCTAAATATCCTCACTCTAAGATTTTTGGAGTAAGTTAGGCTTCTTGGTATAATGACCATATTGATAGTACTTAAATGCTTTTTATTGATATAAATGTCACATTTAGATAAATTACTTCATACTCTTAACATTCTGATTGTGATGAAAGTCATGAATAATATAGTTCTTTAAATGTTTTTTTTTAGCAATTATTCCTGGGACTTACAGAATCGGTATGCTCAAGATAAGTCAGTTGTCAATAAGATGCAGCAGAAGTATTGGGAGACTAAGCAGGCCTTTATTAAAGCCACGGGAAAGAAGGAAGATGAACACGTTGTTGCCTCTGATGCAGACTTGGATGCTAAGTTAGAGGTGAGTGCTTTATAGCTGTCAAGCCCAACATGTCCACCTTGCAAGGTCTAAAGTGAACTCACTTGAGTGGATCTAGGCGTGCTTTATATTAGAAAATGAGGAACATTCAGATCAGATTCTCATTAATCACCAGAGTACCTCTTTCAAATCATTTCTCAAATGCTTAGTTGGACTGTATGGAATGTGATAAATTCCCAGTAAATGTTTGCTGAGAAAAACAAACACAATTACAGAGCTTCTACTAGTGATATCTGAGGAAGTAGAATTGGAAACAAGGTTCAGGCAAATGTTAGCATTTAAAAACAAACAAAAAGAAGAACTTGGGTAAAATAACATAAAAAAGTAAGAGTCTGATATGGTTGGAACAGAATCCTGGAAGGTTCTAGAATGAATAAACTAAGCAGGTACTTAGATTAGTTAGTACTATAGCAAGCTGAATTCATACCCAGCTGATCTACAGTATTAGTATAGCAATAGAAGGCTAACTAACTCATTATGCTGCTGGACACTTCTGTTAGTAGTTTAGATTAAGATTTTGAAAGCATGCTTATCACTTCTATGAGTGATAGGACAGTTAGGACTAATATGTTACATGGCCTAGTAGTGACTTAACAGGACTTTTAAATTTAATAGGGAAGCTAAGGCTGATGAGCTTAACATTTAATGGGATTAAAATTAAAAGCTCAAGATTTAAAAAACATTTCACAGAAGTGTGACTAAGATGGTAGAAACCATGGTTATCCGGAGCAGAGAAGGCAAGGGAGACATTAGCTATCAGTTACACAGGAAGAGCTGTCATGTTAAAGAGGGCTAAGAGGGTTAGCCTTACACAAGCAGATCTTTCTAATCTGTAGGCTTCCCAGTGAGTGATAGACTTACTCTGAGGCCTTGAATGCCCTTACCAGTCAACATAAGCGATTTTTGTATGTTTTTTATTGTAAAAGTACTGTACAGAGGGGTTACAGTTACATGAGTAAGGTAATGAGTACATTTCCTATCTAGCATTGTTGCCACCTCCTTTGTTTTTCCCCAAGCATCCCTTCCTTCCCCACCTCCCCAACACCCCCCCAACAATGTTGTAAATTTCATTTTCAACATAGTGTCTTACACATCTGTAAGACCTGTATCCCTACTTCAGCATTTTGTTATTTCTCTTCCCCTCCCCAAATTAGAAAAATGTTTATAGAAGATGCCGAGCACTGGAATCCAATACAGTGAAAACAGGGGTTATACCTTGGGGAAAGAACATACAAAAGAAACAAAGAAATCACATAGTACATTATAAATATGTTAAAAGCAATAGCAAGGAAGAAAAAAAATTTGTATCCCTATCTTGGGGTTCATTTCACTTAACATCATCTTATATGGTCATATGTATATAGCTTTTGACCTTTTCTGCCTGTCCTAGACATATACTAGTTACTGCAAATAAGGGAAACCATGGGACCTATGTTTCTTTGGGCCTAGCTTACTTCACTTAATATAATTTTTTCCAAGTCTTTCCATTTCCTAACAAATGGGGCGATGTCATTCTTTCTGATGGAGGCATAAAATTCCATTATACACACACATACACACACACATCACATTTTCTTTATCCATTAATCCACAGATTGGGAGAATATCTTTACTAGCCATAAAATGGACAAGGGTCTCATATCTAAAATATACTTAGAACTCAAAAAGTTAAATCCCCCAATAACAAATCCTCAAAGAAACAAGTGTGCCCAATAAATAAGTGGACTAAAGACTTAAAGAAAAACTTCTCTGAAGAGGAAATAAGAATGGCCAATAGACACATGAAGAAATGCTCAACTTCTCTAGCCATAAGAGAAATGCAAATCAAAACAACATTGAGATACCACCTCACCCCAGTTAGAATGGCTATAATCAAGAAATCTAATAATGGATGCTGGAGGGGATGTGGCCAAAGGAACCCTACTGCATTGTTGGTGGGAGTGTAAATTTGTTCAACTACTTTTGAAAGCTGTATGGAGGTTCCTCAAAGCACTCAACATAGAGCTCCCCTATGATCCAGCAATCCCACTTTTGGCCACTTATCCATATGATCACAAGACCATACTAAAGCTACCAGCACAACCAGGTTTATCACAGCATTTTTTACCATAGCTAAGGTATGGAACCAAACCAACATGAGCGATTGTTATACCAGGTAGTTGTTAATAATTTTGGGAGGAGTACCTAATTTCTCTTACCTTCTTTTTCTTAATACATGAAATAGAAATAAGCATGCTTATTTATTTTAGCTATTAAAAGTGTTAAATTAGATAATCAATAGTTATGGCTGTTCATTGAGTGTTTATTATGACCCAGGGACCATTTAGAGTGCTTTCTATACATTATATTTGATACTTAGCAAACCTGACATACCTGACTTCTGCTTTACCACCCTAAGTTTTCTTGGCCCTTTTTCAGTTCTGAGGCCACAATCAAGCAAATTCACACTTAGCAAACCATTTTCTGTCTTTCTTCCCACATCCTCCTTTTAGCTAACTCCTCAGGAGTAAAGTCTTAGCCTAAAGATTACTTTCAAAAATGGACATTCAAACATTTATTTACAGTTATGGATTTATCCACATACTCATTCCCTGTCCATACCACTCCTACTCACTGTCCAATGCATAGCCTTATTTTATGTTGCTTAAATTTTCATCTCTTTTGGAATTATCTCAAGTGTGGGTATTGGTTTATTTTACAGTCTTCCCACCAGTAAAGAGTCAAATCCAAAATCATCACCGTGTCCCCAGCCAGACACACATCATAAGTTTAATATTAGCTGAATGACAATACATGTTAGTGCAATTAATATTGCTTTTCCACCCCTCTCTCCTTTCATTGTAAATTCTGAAATAGAAACTGAAAATAATGTTTCACACATGATGTTTACCACAATGGTAAAAAGTAGACCAAGGAAATATCTATTCACACTTTTATATTCCAAATATAAACTAAAATTTTTATAAATTATACCTTTTTGTCTTAGCAATGTGATAAATATAATATTATTTACAATCTTTTTTCTTTTTAACAATATAATAAATATAAATATTATTTAACCCAATCTGGGTAGAGTACGCTATAATCCCAGCATGTCGAAGGCTGAGGTAAGAGGATTGTGAATTTGAAGCCAGCCTAGGATGCCTAGGAGACCTTGTTTTAGAAACATAGCTTAATATATTAATTATTACTACCATAAACTACATTTTATGTGGACTCTTACAGAAGCACTCTTACTTTAATCTAATATTCTTGAATTCAAATAGTTGTTGCCCTAGATATGTGACATCCAAAACACTTAGCTGTGCCTAACAACTTGACCCATAACAGAGGTTTCTGTTACAGAAATGTTAATACTCATGGTGATGTTTATGGAAGAATGGACTCAATCAATAAAACATGAAAATGATATACAAACTACAAATTCTCAATTACCCATCGAAGGTTAGCTCATCAACCAAGACCTTGCTGGCGCACCCAGAAAACAGCTGTGCCAAGCTTTGATTATAGTTGGATTGTGTCATTATACACTGGGAAGTTAATATAGAAATGTGCTCATTTCCCAGCACTACTTGCTAAGGAGATCATTTCTTCACAAACATCTTAGTACAAGAAAAATCTAACCTATGGGGACAGAGTCCATTAACAACGGCCATGGCAGGGCAGAATAGACTGGATAGTAGAAATGTTACATACCATACATTAGGTATGGTTACATAAGTGTAAACAATTGTGAAAATACACAGATCCTAACATTACAAAGCTGTGTGTTTTATAACACTTATACAAGTACAGTAAAACAAACAAAAAAAACCCCATAAAACCACTACAGCTTCTTGCCTTATATTAAAGAGTTAGAATCAGATCCTTATCTATTCTCATGGTTTCTGACTCAAAATATTGACATCAAGTCTTCACTATGGAAACATACTCAGACTGCTGCTTTTCTGTTTTGTTTTATGATGAAGGGTATTTTTATCTTTTCTAAGTGAGAGGCGGATGAAATTTAATAAATTAGTAAATTCGTATTCTCCATGACTGAGTTATATTATATTAAACATTTCTACAAATGGTATTTATTTTTAAATATATATTCCTGCATCCATTATTGTTAGATAATTTGGTCATATTTATAATGAAGCAGATCATCTGTTTTCACTCAAATGTTGAAGTGCTTTATGATAGCAGAACATAATTTATACATCAAATTGCCCAGTAAATTAGGGACCAAAAGGAAGAGAAAAAAACCTCAAGTAGTAGTTCCACAAGGCTTCCTTCTCAATTCATAAACAAAAGATAGAGACAATACAAAGTCTGTTTTTACCCACTTGACAAGTACCTGAGTAGATCAGTTGTTTTTTTTTGGATTGCAATTTTTTTAATTGTCAAGGTGATATACAGAGGGGTTACCGTTACATAAGTAAGGTAATAAGTACATTTCTTGCCAAACTTGTTACCCCTTCCCTCATTTTTCTCCTACTTTCCCTTACCCCACCCCCACAAGTTGTACAGATCATTCCCAACAAATTGTCTTGTGTATATCACTGTTGCATTGGTTCCCCCCTGTCCTTTGTCTCACCATTCTGTGGTTCCCGTTCCCTTCCCTAATTCAAATAAATGTATGTACAATACCAGGGTGTCAGAATCAAATACAGTGACAACAGGGGATATACTATAGGAGGAAAAACATACAAAAGAAACAAAAAATAACAAAAAATACCTGTAGATAAAAGGTATATTTTGAAAGAAGAAAAGTGTTTGTTTTGACCTATAGTTTTGGAAGTTAGACTCTATGGTTGATTAGCCATCGATTCTGAGGAAAGCTATTTACCTCATGGCAGCTGGGAAGCAAAGAGAGAGGAAAGCACAGAAGTTCCCCATTGTCCTCTTCAGTCCTTAATGAGCCAGTGTCCCAGGTTCCAGGACTAAGCCCCACAGGCTGATAAACAAACCTTTGTCATATGCACCTTTGGGAGATATTTAATCTCCAGTGTATAATATCTGTTCTATCTTCTTTTGATCTATCTCAGCTTCTAAAGCAAAAACCTAAAGCTAGGATGAATTAAAAATTTTTAATGAACTCCTACCCACCTTTTTCTCAGTTTTTTCTTTTTTTATTTGTTATTTTATTATTATTTTTTTTTTTTTGGTCCAGTTGTGGGGCCTGAACTCTGGGCCTGGGCGCTGTCCTTCATCTCCTCAGCTCAAGGCTAGCGCTCTGCCACTTGAGCCGCAGCGCCACTTCCGGCTTTTTTCTTTTTGCTTATGTGGTGCTGAGGAATCGAACCCAGGGCCTCAGGCATGAAAGGCAAGCGCTCTACCACTGAGCCATCTTCCCAGCCCCTTTCTCAGTTTTTTCTAATGCAGCCATAGCATAGCATTAAATTGTCTCCCTGTGTATTTTATGAAATCATTGCAAAAATAGGCAGTGATGTTTGCTTCTAGCTAAACATCATTTTACCAGACGTCTTCTAAACAGATAGGACATTCAGCTGACTTGTCTTTGCTTTATCCAGTTGTTTAAGCATGCCATAAAATACATTAGAATTATAAAAAAATTAATGTCATCTTTTAAATATGATGCTTACTAGGCAGATCCTCCATTAAAAAAAAAAGACAGCAAGTGGTAAATGGAATAAATTAGATTATGAGAGAATATTGGGTCTCTGGTTTACCAAACCCTCTAATTTAGCCTCTTTTGGGTTTTCTGTTTTTCAGTTATTATTTCAAAAGTCTGGAAGAAATCATTGTTCTGCACATCTTAATTTAGATCAGAGATGATTGATGAATTCCAATAAGTAGAGAAAAATTGGATCATATTTAAGACATTGATCACCGTCTGTATAACATCAAACATACAATCATCATCTTTGTTTTAGTAGGAAAATCAAACACTACAGTTTTGTTCAATGTATTTTTTATTTCACCACTGTTTGATCTAACACTTTGTTTGTATTTTTATTACAGCTGTTTCACTCAATTCAGAGAACCTGTTTGGATTTGTCTAAAGCAATCGTGCTCTATCAAAAGAGGATATGTTGTAAGTATGCCATAGTACGATTATTTACCAACTAGATGAAAAGAAACAAAAAGATATTTTGTCTGTGTAATATATTTGGATGATTGAGTGTTTGCCTTTACCTTTTAAGTCATGAGGAAAGTCTGTAATAATTTTGCCAGTAATTTGCTTAGACTGGTTTACTTTTTAAGGTAAATTTCATATTAGGAGAAATTTTATTGGATATCTGAGTAATAGATATAGTATTTGTTTTCCCAAATGTAAAAAGTTTTCTCCATTTTATATCATGGGTTTTTTAAAATTAGGGTAACTTTTGTTTAATTTCTCTGATTCTCTTCTATCTAATTTTATTTCTTTTGAAAGGACCAAGAGGAAAGAAAAGGCACATAGTTAATTCATTAACACTACTTTGTTAACAGTGCTTCCTCATGAGCATTTCTTTTTGTAAAAAACATTTTTTATTATCTTAAGGACTTAACTGCACAAAGGAGGTGCCATTTAACAAAGCAGTTTATGAATAAAATACATCTTCAACATTCTCACTCCCCTTCAACCTACACCTTCTCTTACTTCTTAAAGTTTTGTTGTAAATACATTGAAATTATTGACTGTATTATCTCATGAGCATTTCTGATGTTCAACATTGGATTATAGAAATGGAGCTGTGGCATAATGTATTAGAGCACTAGCCTTGAGTAAAATTGCTTAGAACCAGTACCCAGGCCCTGAGCTCAAGCCCCATGACTGACTAACAGAAACAAAAAATAATGGATTACAATTGGGTTACAAAGGAGCAATATTTTTGTATGGTCATCCTGTCCTAAAACCCATAAAGTTATCTCTGAAATACTAAATATTAGGTTATATGCTAAGTTTTTAATTTTTAACTTGTAAATAATTCATAAAAGTAAAATTACTATATTTCTATTGGAAGGCTTTCTGTTGCTGACTTCTGCCAAATCCCTCTCCACACTGATAATATCTTATTATCAACTGTTAGAGGTCTATAAATCTTATCAAATTGCATTATATGCAAACTACATTATATGGAAATGTCACAATGAAACTCATTTGTACAATTTAGTATTCACTAATAAATAGTACTTAGAGACAGAATTTTATATATTGTCTATATGAATATTTACTAAATGATTGGACAAAGACTTCTGCAGGGATTCAACTTCAGAGGGAATTGGGAAACATTAACAGATCTGATTTGCTTTCTCAGTAGCTTTTAGCTTCTCTTTCTCTTTCTCCATCTTCACCTTTCTCCATCACTGTCATTTGGCTTGCGAAAATCAGTTTTCTAGCCCATCTGTTTGTCCCCACTTCTCTCTCCTCCAGCCCACTGTCTACATTGCTAGCAGAGTTCACTTTTGAACCTGATCAGATTATTCCTTCATTTAAATCCATGTTTGGGAGAATTAGTGATCAAATTTCCTTTTAATGTTCCCACCAAGTTCCAAACTTCACCATGAAATGAATTACTTTCCCCTTTGGAGTAGAACATAACAATTCATAAAAGTATTCTACTTTTTAAAAAAAAAAACAAGCCATATGAAGTTCCTTAAACTAAATATAAAATAGTAAGGAAAGAAAATGTGAATGATTATAGATTTTCTATAGTGATTTTCTCAACAGAAATTATAGTCCCGAGCTGTTTTTATGTTTCTAATAGGAAACAAAGATCTGTCCCCTGAACTACCTCAAATAAGGCAGTAGAGTTATTTATTTATTTATTTGATTTTGTAGGTCCTAGGGCTGGAACTCTGGGCCTGGGCTCTGTCCCTGAACTTCTTTGGCTCAAGGCTAGTGCTCTACCAATTGAGCCATAGTTCTACTTCCCGCTTTTTCTGAGTAGTTTATGGAGATAGGAGTCTCACAGTCTTTCATGCCCAGGCTAATTTCAAATTGTGATCCTCAGATCTCAACCACTGAATAGCAAGGATTACAGGCGTGAGCTACTGGGGCCTAGCTACGTAGGATTTATAATTGACACTGCCAAGACTCATGTTGTATGTATAAGGCTTGTGTAATATGCAGGGTCACAGTAATGTTCCCACTATGAAATAGTTTTCTGGTTGATTTTTGGTTGTGGATAGGCCCTTTCCTTTTACTTGCTATGCTAATATGAGCCATGCCATGGCAGTGAGACTGTTTGAACTAAAAGGGACACCAACTTTGATGGAAGACTAAAAATAGTACAGTTCATGTGAGGATGTTGCTAAGCAGCTGTCACTGAAAAGAAGGAGACAAATCTCTATGAACTGATATGGAGTCATTTTTAGGATATAATCTTAAGCAAAAGAAGCCAAGCATCAATGCATATCAATTAGAAAAGGGGATATAATGAAATGTAAATGTAAAAGATGAAAGACCCACACACATATATAAACTGACACTTATACACCAATACACGTGGTCTATTCATTGTGCTAAAGAAGTTAATTCAAGGAATATAAACCAGCTAAACAGGTTGGCTAACAATGGATAGGGATGTATGTGAAAGATGCCTTCAGTAGCTCTGACTCTTAAAACTATATTTTTCCTATACTCAGATAATACATAAACCACAACATGGGAGAATCTCAAATGGCATATCAACAGTAACAAATGCACTGAACTGCACTCAAAAATGAATCACACTGAATGGGGAGGAAAAAAATAACCCTAGTAATTAAAAACCAATATGTTTGACAGAAAAACAAGGATAAACACCAAAAATATACATGTGACCAGTGTATTTATTTCTTATAGGGGTATAGGCTATCTTTCTACAACTATTTTTATGTACATAGTAAAGTGGAACAAATAAGTAAATACACTGTAGATATTGGATACCTGCCTAGAAGTTACAAATTAAAAGTGAACTTCAGAATGAACCCAGTACTGTTGTGATGGAGTCAGAGGTGTCATATATGAAAGGATTTACACAGAAACAGAGATGAATATGTATGCATGGCTAGTGTGTCTTTACCTATTTCCTATTTTTGTCAGTTGAGAATGCCTAGAAGTACTAATACTCCATTGGAGTGAGCATATCCAGCACTCAGGTCTTGGTTTCTAAATAGCCTTATCCTTGAAAATGTAACTATAGGGCAGGGATAAGGAAAATGCAATATGATCTTAGAGTGTCTTCATTATGCACATGCAGAAGGAAGTACGTATGAAAGGATGGGCATGTTGAAAGGACACAGGAGTGAGCCTCTGGTCAAAGCTGGTATGATTAAGTATTAAACTGTAAGCCACCGGGGTGGGGAGGGAGAGCAGTAAACGAGGGACTAGTATTAAGTCTAACTGGAGACAGATGAATAGGTGATAGCTGGATGGGTGAGAAGGGACAATGCTTCATTATAAAATAAAATAATACTGTTTAATAAAAACAGAAAGGAACCACAAAATCACCACAAGGCAAACACTACACTGAGAAATGTAGCAGGTAAGATTCACTGGAATGTTACAACTAGTGAGTGAAAGTTTGAAGAGAAACTGGATATTTAGGAAAGCTCCTGTGTTCCTCACTCAAGATCTTTTAAACTGTAACAAAAGGAAAAACATGTACCATTACACTATGACAACCCAGAAGGTAGCATCTATGACAACCCAGAAGGTATCAACTTAATCAAATGCTAACACATGGGGATGTCGTGTAGCTCCTGACGTCATATACTGATGTCATATCTCCCCAGATTGATAATTCCAGTCGAATGATATGAAATCAGACAAACCCAAGTTGGGAGACATACTATCTGACCAGTACTCTCAAAAGATGTCAAGATCAGCCAGGTGCTGGTGGTTCATGCCTGTAATCCTGGCTAAGTTCTCAGGAGGCTGAGACAAGCCAGGGCAGGAAAGTTCCAAAAGACCAAAAGAGGAGCTGTGGCTCAAGTGGGCTTAAGCACAAAAGCTCAGGGATAGTGCCCAAACACTGAGTTGAAGCCCCAGGACTGGCACAAAAATGAAAGAAAGATAAAGAAAAAGAAAGAAAGAAAAAAGTAAGAAAGAAAGAAAGATGGGAAAAAGAAAGAAAGAGAGAAAAAAAGGAAGGAAGGAAGGGGGGAAGCAGGGAGGGAGGGTGTGAGGGAGGGAGGGAGGGAGGGAAGAAAGAAAAGGAAGGAAGGAAAGAAAGAAAAAAGGAAAGGAAGAAAAGAAAAAAGCATAAAAGTCATGAGAAACAACAGAAGACTCATTATCTCAGTGTAATGTGGGTTCTGAGACTAGATGCTGAAACAGAAAGAAGACATTCATGGAAAAACTTGAAAATTCAAATATGTTTACAAGATAATATTGTACCAGTGTGAATTCCCTAGTTTTGATCCTTGTTCAATAGCAATATAAGAGGTAATGAGGAGAAGCTGGGGAAGATACACAGAAACTCTGCATACTGTCATACGGTTCATAATTTTAAGCCTAAAATTACCTAAAGATAAGATTTAATGGGTGTAGCTTTAGTCTTGCTTTTTTTTAAAATACATTTTTATTGTAAAAATACTGTGCAGAAGGGGTTACAGTTACAAAAGTACATAAGCAAGGCAATGAGTACATTTCCTGTCAAGCATTGTTACTCCTCCTTTGTTTTCCCCTACCATCCCTTCCCTTCCCTCCCACCTCCACAAATACACTCCCACTCCCCCCAACCTAAATTGTAAAGTTCATTTTTCAACATAGTGTTTTGCATATCTCATTGTTACAATGGGTCAACCTCTATCCCTATTTAAGCATTTTGTTTTTTCCCTTCCCCTCCCCCAATTAGAGAAGTGTAAATACAAGATGCAGGGTACCAGAATCAAATATGGAGAAAACAGGGTTTATACCATGGGGGAGGAACATACAAAAAAACAAAAACATCACATGGAACATTATAAATATATTAGAAACAAAAGCAAGAAAGATAAAAACCACTTGTGTTCCTATCTTGGGGTTCATTCCGCTTAACATCATCTTATATGGTCATATGTACATAGCTTTTGACCTTTACTGCTTGTCCTAGACATATACTAATTATTGCAAATAAGGGAAACCATGGGACCTATGTTTCTTTGGGCCTGGCTTACTTCACTTAATATAATTTTTTCCAAGTCTTTCCATTTCCTAACAAATGAGGTGATACCATTCTTTCTGATGGAGGCATAGAATTCCATTGTGTATATATACCACATTTTCTTGATCCATTCATCTACTGAGGGGCATCTGGGTTGGTTCCATTTTAATCTTGCTTTTAAAAACTAATGGTTGGGTACTGATGGCTCATGTCTGTAATCCTAACTACTCAGGGGGCTGAGATCTGAAGATCAAAGTTTGAAGTCAGCTGGGTCAGGGAAGTCAAGAGTCCCTAGACTCTGACCTCCAATCACCAAAAAGCTGAAAGTTGTGTGTAGAAGTTGAGTAAAATACTCACCTTACGCAAAATACTCAGGGATAGTGAGCAGGCCTTAAGTTCAAGCCCAGAATTAACACACACATGCTTGAGCACATGCTCGTACACACACACACACACACACACACACACACACACATATCTTTAATAGGTTTAAAAGTAGAATCCATATTCCTATCAAGGCTTATAAACAAGACACAATATGGCCCACAATCTCACCAGTGTAGCCCATCCTTCCTTTGCTTGCCAAGTAACCTCTGCCTGGAATGCTCTCCCTGACTGTATATCAACAGTGGCTCCTCCTTGTCTTTCAGAATTTGGCTTAATGTTTAGCTGGTCCGAGAGCCTTCCCTGATGGCTCGTTCTAAAGCTGCTTCCTGTCACTATATTACTTCTCATTTCTCATTACTCTAGCTGGTATTTTCCTTTTGGTGTTTTGTTTATGCTTAGGTATATTTTGTTTTCTTTCACCTGCCACTTGAATGTGAGCTCTGTAAATGCAAAGACTTTGTATATCTCCTTCATCCCTGTATTCCCAATGGCAGAAGTTGTCCAGTGCATATTAGATTAGCCATGAATCTGAGCTGAGTGAATTAATGCTGTAAGCTAATTGTGTTCATAGTTCTTTGGTTGCTTTTACAAAGGCACATCTGAAAATATAATCAGAAATTACATGTGAATAGGCTTTTATTTGAAATTTTAAATACCAGTTAATTGAAACATTTATATAAGTAGAAATGTTTTAGTTATTTGATATATGTATGTTATACCTGAATTCTAAACAAATTCATTTCCTGGGACTGGTTGAGGGGATGAGTATGCTTGTGGTAGGGACAATGACGGGAGGGGTTACACTGACAAAGATGCACTGTTTTTATAAATATGACATGTTGAATAGAAATCCCTTTGTATGACTACTTAATTAAAAATACTGCAATAATAGAGCAAACAGAAAAATCCAAATTCTTTCCCTCACTCTCAGCAGCTTTATCCATTAATCAGAGTTAGCACTTAAAATGAAACTTGTTCACCACCCACATATAACCATCAAGTACATAAAATGACCAAATTTTATTTTTAAGTGCTTCAACTGACTCAGATTTGTTTAGGAGAGAGTACATTTCACCAACTGTGTAATCACTCAGGTACCATGAATTGGTCACTTCCTGGCCTTAAGCTAAATGTGTTCCTTTTTTTTTGGACTTGAGGCTTTAAGGTTAAAAAGGTGATGGTAGTTTCATGCTCTTAGAAGCAAAAATAGGAAATTGCTCTCCATAAGAGTCATTGTAGAATTGAATGAGTCAAGTATTAGTCAGTGGAGAGAAGAAATGGAAGGTATTACAAACCGAACCAACTTCTAATTATAGAAGTTTTCTAAGCTACATAGAACCATGGCATAAGTATCAAATATGCTTTTAATGTGAACTAAAGTGGGTAAGGATAATAAGGCAAAAATTATAGTTAATTCAATTTCACAAGCATTAAATTAGTACCACGGTTTTAAAACTAGGCTCAGCCTGAGGAATATAAAGTTTATCTGAGGCCCTGGTTCTGGAAGGCTGAGTCTCATGGTGAAGATAGACACATGCCCATTCATGTCCACTTTGACCATAGCAAGCCCTAACACAGTTGCCCAGAGGGTGCTACTGTGCCAAGAAACAGGAATCAACTACTCCTCAGAAGAAGGAGCCTATACCTAGTCTTTGATTTGTGAACTTGAGTTTTGAAAGAGGAAAGAGGCAGGAGGGGTATCATTTATCTATCAGGATAAATGGATTCTGAAATCCTCTTTTCCACAGGTCCAACTGGGGGACTGCTGAGAATGAACTATAATAACAAATTAATAAGGAGCCAGTAGCAAGTTTAACCGTCACCTTTGCATTCCTAGTTCCTGGCCAAAACTTCCCTTCCTTCTTCCCTCTTTCTCTCCCTCCCTCCTTTCTCCTTTCTTTCTTTCTTTCTTTTACTTTTTCTTTCTTGCTGTCTTTCTTTCTTTCTTTCTTTTTTTCTTTCTTTCTTTCTTTCTTTCTTTCTTTCTTTCTTTCTTTCTTTCTTTCTTTCTTTCTTTCTTTCTTTCTTTCTTTCTTTCTTTCTTTCTTTCTTTCTTGCTGTCTGTCTTTCTTGTCTTTCTCTTTTGTGTGTGTGTGCTAGTCCTAGGACCTTCATGCTCAGCTTTTTCACTATACCACTTGAGACCACATCCCCAGTTCCAGCTTTTTGCTGGTTAGTTGGAGACAAGAGTTTTGTGAATTTGTCTGCCTCATCTAGTTTGTAACTGTGATCCTCAGATCTCAGCCTCTTGAATAGCTAGGATTATAGATGTGAGCCACTGGCCTAAAACTGTCATTGTTTTATAACTGTTGTAGAGGTTCTCTCAGCAATGGGTGCATTCTGAAAGAATCTTGAATGGCTCATGAAAGCAGATAAAAATCCTAGTAGCATTTAGAAAGTGCTTGTAGAGATACATGATATATAAATATAGGTAGACATGGTAGCTCAGGAGATGGAGGCAGGAGAATCTCAAATTCAAGGTCAGCCTTAGCTACTTACTGGAATTTTGTTTCAAAAAGCTGAGGGCTTAAGATGTAGTTTAGTAGGAGAGCACAATTCTACAACCTCTATTTAGTGCCAAATTAATTTCTAGAAATCACTTTCTTAAGCCATAGTCCCATCTACACTTCTCTTTAAGAATAAGGCCAGATTAGGCATAACAAATTCTGATATGGTGTACCAACTCTGTGTTTTAAAATCTCACAAAGTGGTCAACTTGATGACCAAGTCATCATCAATCCCCACCCCTTCCTCCATCTAAAACTCAAGGTCACATGTGAGATATTTGAGTTGCTTTACATTTGAGTAGAATGTAACTCAGAAAGATCAAAAAGTCAGAGAGAGGGAGGATAATAGAGGCAGCCAGCACCACATTCTAGGCAGCCACAAAAGATTCCCACCATCAGACTTGACAAACCCAACTCCATTATTTCAGCTCAGAGCAGCACATTATGGGCTCGCTTTTCAGTACAGAGGTCATTTTCTGGTTCTGATTACAGGGCACCAACTCACTGACAGATGTATTCAAGTGAATTTGATCTCTCCTATTGTAAATGGAAGAACAGCATGAAAGTTAAATGGCAGGGGGTGAGGGGTGGAGGGGGAGAACTTACCTTGCAGCCTGCCACTTGGATTTAATTTCATCTCATCTTTGCCTCTGAAGAGAGGACCTTGTGATTTGTCTCTCTCAGTTTCTTTGTAATATAAAAAATGTGCATTGTTCACGGCTCTTTTCCCTCTTTTCTTCATCAGTCTTGTCTCAAGAAGAAAATGAACTGGGAAAATTTCTCCGATCCCAAGGCTTCCAAGATAAAACCAGAGCAGGAAAAATGATGCAAGCCACAGGAAAGGCCCTGTGTTTTTCTTCCCAACAAAGGTGTGTGGCCTTCATTGGGATACTTGGAGGGTAGGGAGGTGGGGGAAGGAGAGTAGGGGACTCATTCATAAAGAGGAATCTCACAATCTTTGCAGTGCTTTTTGCCTGAGGCTGAAAACCTACTTTGTGCCTAGTTGGTTTCTACTTCACTCTGACTTAAATAAAATGTTAAGCTGTTTTCTTTTTCCTCCCTGTTAATTTTTAATTATTTTCTTCTTTCCTCTGGTCTATAGGGGCATTATGTATGCCAATCATTGTAAATGCTGTCTTAGGCTTATATTTGACCTTCAAGTTGCTCATAACAACCAGTCTGGTCCCCTTCCAGTAGCTGATTAGAGCGAGAGCCTAATGAGACCAGCTTAAAGGGTTCCCTGGCTTCTCTCTGTGGGCCAATTAACTGCAGAGAGGTGTCATTCAGGATGCCCTGGGCCAGGATGCACTGCCCAGATCCTGGGCCAGCAGCATCCACAACATGACCTGAGAGCTCCTTAGAAATGCAGAATCTAGGCCCTACCCGCCCCCCCCCCTCCCCCAGGCCTGCTGACTCCAAATCTGCATTTCAACAAAATCTCCATTGATTTTGACATACATGCCTTTTAAAACACAACCTGAACTTACTTTTTCATGATCAATGTTAAATAAGCAGGCGCCCCCTGCACACAATTATTCTTTGTGCTTGAGAAATGAGAAACTTGTTCTTTCCCCTCTCCCAGTAACAAGTGCAAAAAAAAAGTCTCATACTAGTCTTCAACAGAACTAAACCTAAATAAAACTGTAGGTGGTGTCCAAAAATATTTAGGCTACAGAAACTTCACTTACTAACTTCCATTCATTTTTCCTGTTTGTTTTCCCTCCTCATGGACCAAGCAGTCCATTTGCATGTGACACTTGGGTGCTTCTGTGGAAGCCCAAGAAAGATGGAAGAAAAAAAAGAATAAGTTGGATCTTCCTAATGACATCTGAATACTGTCCTGGTGGTAGTGCCAGCCACATTATTAAATGAAATCGTTTCCAACCATCAACTACTCTAGTTTTCCGAAGAAAGTACTTGTTTGAAAACTTAAGTTTTACATTTCTTTTCTTGTAAAATTTATATATATTATTTTTTAAATTAAAAAGCTACTAAGATTTTACTAATAAGGATGACCTACTTTACAATCTCTTGGTATTTCTGTCTGGATGGCCTTTTCCAACCTTATAGGGATAACCAATTCCTAGAAAATCTGTCAGAGTAAATTCTCTTATGCTAAAACGTAATTATCACTCATTTTAGTGAGAAAAACTTATCTGTGCCTTTAAATAAAAATTTTGACCATTTACAGAAAACAAAGCCAAATCCCAGGGTACTAGAAAGGTTTCTTTTATTGAGCATATTGTTAATTATTCTATAATATGGCTATCTAGTTATATACTCTTATAATTAAATATCAAATTATTTTACAAGGTACAAATACTGTACCTCACGTTTATGTAATCTGATTTTTCAATACAAACAAAAACAGTAAGAGAAAAGAAAACAAGGGAAAACAGTCTTGTGTGGTGCTCTGTGCCTTAATCCTAACACTGGGGAGGCAGAGGCAGGTGAATTGTGAATTCAGGGCTATTCTTGGCTACAGGCTCATCATCATGTTTCAAAAAAAAAGTGCTAAATCAGTGAAACAATACAATGATGTTTGTAATTATCAGCACTATAGATGAGCAAACTATACTTCACCCATAATTTAATGAGTTGTAGCCAACCCTGCAATTTGGAAGGTAGCCTTCTGTATGGTGGCTTTGTTTTCATTATCCCTCAGATGCTTGCCAGGCACATAAAATCCCAGCCAGTTCTCCTAAATGTGAAGAAGTAGGGGAATACACTTGAATTCTTAGAAGAAGCATGGTTTAAGAAATACCAGAATAAAAAAAAGAAATACCAGAATATATGTTTATTAATCATCCTACCATATCATTCTTGTATTAGTCCGATTGTATGCTGATTATTTACCAAATTAATTTTTAAATCAAAGACCAGCATCTTTAAAAAAAAACAGTACATCTTGAATAGCATCTGTATTACAGAATTTCACAATCTGATATATCTAATCACCTTTTCCTACTAAAGGAAAAACATCCTTTAAATAGACCTTTAGGTGCTCTAGTAATTATTTCAATTAAGGAAAACTTCGTGAATGAACATGTGAGCCAATCTAGCTTGAAGCTTGAGATTTTCTTGGTTACTGAATTTTCTTGGGTCCACTTAGTATTTTATGCCACAAGTGAGTGGGTTTCATTTTTCTGATTTAGGGAAAGTTACAAGGGTAAAAATGAGGTGATCAGTTTTGTGCCTTTTTTGTCTATGATTATATTATTGCAACTTCAGACGTTTCTATCCAATTTTGAAATAGTACATGAAATCAAGAATAGTTTATTCACAAGACTCTTTCTGAGCAAATCCATGGGAAAAGGAAGAGCAGTCCAGAAATGAGCAGGATCCTTGAGTAGACATCTGAGAAGTCTTCAATTATACAAGCCTTCACAGCAGCGTTTGATTAACTGACTTACTTACAGACCAGAGGAGAAGTAGAGAAACGGTGAATGAGGTTTTTTTTTTTTAATGGTTTACGACACCATTTGTAATCTAAGAGTGCTGCACACATGGAGACATTGCAGCCAAAAGCTGACATTGGCTCACTGACACCATTGTGCCAGGCAGCTAAGTTAGTTTGCATTTAAATGGAAATTTAAATATTCATCTTATTTTTATTTTTTGCACCTGTCCCCAGCAACTTCTTGAAGAAGAATCTATTTTAAAAGTCTAATTTATCTGACATTGCTATTTGACGTTGAACTATGGAAAAGCAGTATTTTTCTCCCCAAATAAATATTTTATCAGAAATTTAATTATGCCTTGTTTTTTCCTGATAAATCACATTTGTATAGACAGTATTATAATAATGTAACATTTTTACAGTATACATTCATTTCTTGTATCGTGTGTGTATGTGTATGTGTGTGTGTGTGTGTGTGTGTGTGTGTGTGTGTAAAAGAGAGAGAGAGAAAGAAAGAAAGACAGAGGGAGAGGAGAGAGAGAATGCACACAGGCCCTGAGTTCAAGCCCCAGGACTGGCACCCATCTCCCCACCAAAAAAGATTAAATTACTTAACCTATCTGAAACCACTAACATACATTAGATACTGGGTCAATGTGCTTATCTCTCTACACCATTTTAAAATGATTCAGCTCATGCCTTAGTTCTATACAACTATAAAGCCAGCAGCAGAAGCCCTGGACTTTGAAGAAAACTCACAGTGGCCACGTGATCATGTCAGAGAAACTGTAATAATACACTCTGCCAGCTGTCCTCAAAGGCCAGGAGTCAGGGTAAGAGGAAACAAGAGGTAACCAAAGTGGACATATGAATGGTCATATCTTGACTAGCCTTCTTTTGACATGGGATTGGTTCCAGCTGCAAATGAATATTTTGCTTCGGCTTTGTGTCACCACCGGTGACCCTGATGGAGGTACTTCCAAACGGTCCAGTTCAGTAACTGATAATGCCCTATAAATTAGAGCATTAAGGAATCAATACATAGGCAATCATCCCCAGTGGACTCATGAGTTTCCATACATTTTCATTTTTAAAATTTATTTTTGTGGTAGTACTGGAGTTTGAATACAGGGTCTTGTGCTTACTAACCAGGCACGCTACCATTTCAGCTACTCTACCAGTTCTTTTTGTGTTGGTTACTTTTGAAATAAGGTATTGCTTTATTCCCAAGCCTAGTTGGACTGTAATTCTGTTTGTGCTTCTCTGAACTGCTAGAGTAACAGGCACACACCACCACACCCAGCCATTGTTTGAGATGGAGTCTCAAAAGCTATTTTTTCCTGGGCTAGACTCAACTTATGATCTCCCAGTTTCCATTACCCTATGGTATCTGGCATTACAGGCTTGAGCCACCACACCTGGCCAGTTATCGGATTTTGATGCATTATCTTCTATGTTCAAATGCTGTTTTAGGTTCATGAGTTCAAGATGAACAAAAGATGAAGGATTCAAATTGCCAGTTGGCTTAGTTTCTGGATTGTGGTTTTCTCCTCTTGTCCAGGTTGGCCTTGCGAAATCCTCTGTGTCGATTTCACCAAGAAGTGGAGACTTTTCGGCATCGGGCCATCTCAGATACTTGGCTGACAGTGAACCGGATGGAGCAGTGCCGGACAGAATACAGAGGGGCTTTATTATGGATGAAGGATGTGTCTCAGGAGCTTGATCCAGACCTCTACAAGCAAATGGAGAAGTTCAGGAAGGTAGGAGGTTTTATGAGGGTTACCAAAAGAGGTACCTGTTGGAAGGTATGATTTGAATCCCTATAGTTGAAGACATAACTCAAAAGCACCAAGGATGCAATTAATCATCACTGGCGTCTTTGTATGTGACAGAATACCAATTAATGTGATATATAATTCTCTAAGGATAAGACAGAAGAGACAGCTGGAAATTACTGGGATTTAGTAAATGGTTTTAATTGAAGTCAGATTTTCATATAATGTGCACTTTTTGTAAGCTTGTCACTTCTAAATGCCTTTTCATGCATAGCTAAAAAAATGTAGGTAGATCAAATGAATCTGGAAGGTGAGAACAGACGATAAGGGAAATCTTTTCTAATTGCTAATGCATATAAAACTAGTAAAAACAATTATGCTCCTTTGTTTTATGATGCATTCTGAGGCCATAGGGGATAGTTGTATGATTAGCAAATGTGATATTGACTTTATCTCCTGTCAACCAACTTCTTATCAGAAATTTCTCTAAGGAAAAGTAGTCAGAGAAATGGATATCCTGTGAAATTTCCCAGAAAGAACTGTTGAGCAGTGGAGGGATAATCTTTATTTGTTAAATATTCTTGTGTCAGTATACCTGTTCATAGGAAGCTATATCCTGCCACTGGGTGGCAGTGGTACACTGAGTATTTATGAAAACGTTGAGCAATTTTTGTGTACAGTGTTGGTGGTTCTTTGTTTGGTTTACTACTGGATATGTTTCAGGATGTAAAAGAAAAATTAATCAGTCAAATATTAGGCTTGACATAATAGTGCATCAAGTGTCCTATTCGCTTCATCTGATCCATGTCTAATTAGATATACTGCTTGAAATTCCCAGGTTTCTTTTTAGGTACATACATCAGCATGGAATTTAAGCAATGGGAAATCTGCCAGTGTGGAGGAGGTCAGATGTGTGGGGGTGAAGAAGAGGGAATGTCTATTGCTTAACAGAATGATAGGCCACCAATTCTTGGCCTAGATATGCGTGGATATAAATTCCTCTAAAAGACAATTTTTTTCTTCATCTGTCATTTCAAATTCTTCCTTATGAAAGGTCAGCATATAGTTTCTCTTCTGATTATAGATGTCTTTCATGTATTGCAACATTTGACTTTTCTGAAAAGTCAGGACTGAAAAGTCTCTTTGACAACATATAATAAATCTCACTGATGTTAGAGAATCAAGGCTTCAAGATAACAAATAAAAATTTAAAGTTTTGATAGCTAGATTCTGGTGAGCCCCAAATTACTTTTCAAGTTTTCTGACTTTTCAATCATTCCAGGAACATGCTTTGTCTTTAACATTTTATTTAGAGGATGTGAGGGTGGAGTTAGTATAAGAAAAGATGAAAAAAGAAAAGAAAAAAGAAGGAAAGAAAAGCATTGTCTTCAGGGCATAGTGATGCTTACCACTTAATCCTCACAAATATAACATACAGTTTATGTACTATAGGTGAGGAAAATGGTTCCCATGTTAGATTGCTAGCCAAAGGTCAGACAAAAAAATGAAAAGTCAGAATCCTGGGAAATATACAGTTAATTTTCTTTTCTCCTAACAAACAAAAAAGAACTTTTCTAGTAATATTTCCCATGATTTTTTCCTTCAATTAACAATTACTGAGCACCTCCTACATGCCAGTCAGTAAAAGCAAATACACATATTTTTTTTTTTCTGGAAGGCAGAAGCATTTCATGTAGAGTTGTATTTATTTAGTTTTGTTTGGGTCAGGGGAAGATGTTGCTAACTGGGTAAAGATGAAATGAAAACCAAGTCCTTCGTCATTTGGTTTGAACGTTGAAACCTTTCCCACCATTTAGTCTCATCAATCGGTTGATTCTGGAAAATATGGTTTTAAGAAAAATCCTTTTCCATGATGAAGTAGCTGAAGTAGCCTTACTTCCTAATCCCATGTATGCTGGTTTTAATTTAATAGCTGAGCATGATGTGCTTAGAATTTAGAGAAAGAATCCTTTTTTTTTTTTTTTGAAGATGTTAATCTTCAAGTATGTATCTGATTAGGCTGTGCTCTTCATGAGGACAAAGGGCCATGTTGGTTCTCTTGAGAACCTTAACAGTAGGACCATCCTAGTGCCTGGCCCTGAGTTGGTGCTCACAAGTCTAATGGCAAAGTTCCCAGCACTGAGTCTGGAGAGGCAGGCCCATCTTTTCTGAAACCTCTCAGCATTCCTCCCATATGCTGCTGACTTCATGATGTTTTAGGAATTGACATATGTCTTTGTGCAGGTAAGCAGTTGCATTATTAATTTGTGGCTTGCTGACCTCTTTGCAAGGACTTTCAATTGTGAAGTTTTAACTTGGAGTTTATAACATGGATTTAACTCTGAATGAACTTGAGTGTCTTGTCACAATGGGATCCCCTGTTAAACAGTCTCTATTTATCTCTCAGGCATGTATTACCTACACATGTTTCTGAGTCATCTGGGAGCATGACCCAGCTCTGGTGGCTCTATAGGAGTCATTGCAAGAGCAGGAGTTCGTCTCCTCAGTACCAGTTCCTGCTTCCACATTTTAACTGATGAACCCTGAACTATGAACTTGGATGACTTCACCTATTCTAGAAGAGACCAACATTCTAACTCTTACTTCATGATCATAGACCCATTCATTGAATCACTCATTGAACAAATGATTGAAGTTTAGCTATGGGCTAGGCAGCATCCACAGGAATATATAAAATAGACCAATCCATTCATTACTATCATGTCTTATTTGATCACTTGGGGACAGAGCAAATAAACCCAAGGTGGTATGAGACACTGAGGTAGAGCGAAGGGTGTGGGAAACTGGGGTGCCCAGACCCCTAAAGAGTGAAGCAGGGCCAGAGTAGAAAGGACATCTACTGAGGGTGAGAGGGGAAGAGAAGCATATTGAGAAGGTCAGGAGTGTGATCAAATGTGTATTCTCAACAGCTCAGATTTTAATGTGAAGAAGAGATTAAAAGGAGCCAGGCCTTGAGGCTGGGAGAGTCACTGGAATGCTTTTTGAACAGACCCAGACAGATCATGGCCTGACTGTGCCAGGAGAAGGAAAAGTAGACTAGAGAGAAACACACTGTTCCGAACTTCTGCCAGACTGTATAGACCACCACTTTAATTACAGAGTTCTTCATTATTTTTGGAATTAAGCAGAAGACGCATAAATAAATAAATAGCAAGTTCAAGTGTATTTTCACCTCCAACCAAGGCTGTGTTCACATGCCAAGAAACCTTTTAAATAGCACACAGTGAGCAGAACTGAAATGATGAATGAAAAACTTGAAACCAAACAAAGCAAGTGATCCGTTTTCTTCCTGGCACCCTTTGGAGCACATAAGCTGAAGATAGAGGGCTCAGAATCAACATTAAGAAGCTGTAAGTGTCTATGGGAGGGGCTCAAAGCTCCAAGGGAGGAAGAAGCTTGATTGATTCCAGCCTTCTGAAAGGACCCTTACTAGCTATCTGTTCCTTGTCAACATGATGGTGAGGAACAAGATTCCTGGGGAGTGTCGCCACATGAATAGCCCCCTCAAAAAAACAGAGAGTAAGAACTGCTAGGTGGATTTACATGAGCTGCAGGACTAGATGGCGGTATGCACATTTCGGCTTCTCCTGACAGTGTGATTCACCCTGGGACCACAAGGTATTTTATGAGTGAAGTTACAACATGTGATATATGGGCCCTTTGAAGGCAGAGTAAAAGGGTGTGATTTAAAAATAGAAGTCAGTTTCTCGTAGCAGGTTACATCAGCTGAAGTTGTGAGCTCCAGCAGAGCCTTTGCAGCCCGATGCCCTTGAGAGAGTCCTCCTGTGGTCAATTAAGTGTCTTGTTTTTCTTGAAAGTCAGAAATGGATGGCGGGTAATTATTCTAAATGGGATAAAAGCTGTGATAGGTGTAAGGAAATAGTTCTGAATCCTCTAAAGAGATAGTATGGAAATGTATACGTGGGCATTTGTAGGAGTCAGAGTGTTCATGGACAAGGACAGGAGAACCAATGTTTTAATGAGGCCATTTATTAAAAGGCTTAATGAAAGCCTACAGCATTTGTCTAGTGTTTCACACCACAATTCCAAAGGATATCTAACAGGTATTATAGGAAATATGAGTGATATATGCTGTTATTCACAGGCTTGTATTGATTTTCAAATAGTGTTAGGTTTTGGACCTGTTAATCTACTAGTCACACCATCAAAGGATATGTTACCAAGAGCAGGTTTATTAACAATTGTTGGCAGCTGGCCGCATAGAACCTCATGAAAGCTATCAATTAGTGGAGTCCCTGTTCCCAATTATAAAGGTGTGCCTATATGAGCTTGGTCAAAGACTGGTAAATAGCAGTATTGTTACTAGAGGGATTTTTCCCCTTCTGAACAAAGACTTGGGTTAATTAATTTGACAGTTTCATTAATTACTGCTGAAATCATTGGTCTTTGTCAAAGGTCGGGTTCTTTTAGCAATTGAGGGCAGGTCCTATGGGAGTTGAAGGCGCCAAGTGATACTGGAGTGTCACCGTTCGACTGTCTCGCTGGCCTTTGTGCCTGGTTCATCAGCTCCCTGGCTGGAACATATCTCTGCTTCAGTGCCAAGGAAGATCTGCTCCTTACCCCTCCCCCAACAAGTTGAGTTGAGTGAATGAGGAACCTTTCAAGTTTGGATCTCTCCATTGGAACAATGTCCCAGTGCTTTGCTAGTTCTCCACTTCCATACACTGAGTTGAGTTCTTTTGTGAGGTGAAAATTTCTTTTATACAGTTAATACTTCCACATATCTGTTTTGTAGCTCTTCACATTCATTGGTTGGTTTTTGATGTGTGCTGGTTGTTTGTTTTTGGTTTGGGTTGGTTGTTTAACTAGGGCACTTGTTATTTGTGGTCCACACACAGATGAATCTAGCTGCCAAAATGCCATAAGAAAAGCCTGCCATCTTCACATGGCATAACACAGAAGGGAACAAATAATTATATCCTTGCTCTCAATTCTGAATTTGA